ACAACAACAATAACAGGTTGATAGTGATGATATGGTCTGTCATCGATATCATCGGAATTTGATAACATTGCCCATTCTTGGTGATCTATACCGATATTATCATTATTAGCAGTATTGTTATGTTTGTGTGTGTGGGAGCTTTTTCTATTGTCAAAAATTTGGAAAAAAAATGTGGAGAAAAATTAAATTAAATTTTGTTTGTTTGTCGAACGAACGAAACAAACAAAATTCCATATTGGGAATGTTTCGGTGATTTTTCTCACTCATTTTACCCAAAAAAAATATTGTTGATTTTTTGGTAAAATCAAATGTTTTTTTTTGTCCACAATTTGGAAAGAATTTTGTGGCAAAAAAAATATGATTATTATTTTTTTCGAAGTTCACCACTTTGAAAAAAAAACGACCAACCGATAACTATCAATTGAAAATCAAATCGAAACCTGAATTGAAAAAAATCTGAGATAGAGAGAGAGAGAGAGAGAGAGAGAGAGAGAGAGAGAGAGAGAGNCGAACGAAACAAACAAAATTCCATATTGGGAATGTTTCGGTGATTTTTCTCACTCATTTTACCCAAAAAAAATATTGTTGATTTTTTGGTAAAATCAAATGTTTTTTTTTGTCCACAATTTGGAAAGAATTTTGTGGCAAAAAAAATATGATTATTATTTTTTTCGAAGTTCACCACTTTGAAAAAAAAAACGACCAACCGATAACTATCAATTGAAAATCAAATCGAAACCTGAATTGAAAAAAATCTGAGATAGAGAGAGAGAGAGAGATAGAGAGAGAGAGAGAGAGAGAGAGAGAGAGAGAGAGAGAGAGAAGCCATAGAATAACAATAATCAATAATCAACAACAAAAACATACTTGTGATGTACCGTTATATTATTATTATATAATGTTTTTGTGTTCTTGTTTGTATGTGGTTCGAAGATACCGATATCGATTCAATTGTGTTAATGTTTTGTGTGTGTGTGTGTGTAAATCGACCATATTGTAATAATGAGTGAGGGGAAAGAGAGAAGGAAATAAAAAATTTTGGATCCAAAAATGATAAAAGTGGAGGGTGATTGAATGAATAAGGAGAGAGACTGAGGTTCATTAAAAAAAATTTTTTCGGTCTCAATGATCAAATGTGATGTGCGAAATATTCATTGTGTGAATGAATGAATGAATGAATGAATGAATACAATGGCCAAAAACCATTCAATTTTATCAAACAACAACAACAACAGAAAAAAACGATCATTTCATTTGTATCACATAGGGTCCTATCTATATAAAAAGTGTGTGTATTTTGGTTGATTATTTTAGTTTGCTTGCATTGTTGTTGTTGTTGTTGTTGTTGAACAAAAACCATCATCTCAATGATGATGATGATCATCAAGAGCCATCAACAATGAAGAGAAAAAAACCTATTTGAAATACAGAAAGGATAAAAACATGTCTATTGTGTGTGTGTGTAGTTTGAAAAGAGTAAATTTGTGAAAAGCAAATTGTCTTCATTCATTCATTATATTCACAATAAAGCTTTTTTTTCCATCATCATCATCATCATTTGATTCAATCTGATCATGTTTTTCATTATTATTGTTGTTGTTGTTGTTGTTCTATACACAATAGACAATAGGAAACAAAACAAAACAAAAAATGAATGAATGAATAAAAATTAAACAATGAATGAATGAATGATTCCTAACAACATTCTCGAAATGAGAAAAAAAAACAAAACAAAGCGATATTGTGAGGGGGAAAAACGATTGTATAACGAGCTATATTGAGAGAGAGAGAATGAGAGAAATATAGAACAATATGACAATTGTCAACGATAAAAAATATGAATGAAATGAAATGAAATTGAATGGAATGAATACACAATTGTGGAACAATAATAATAACAAAAAACAATCGAATGAATGAATGAATCAATGAAACAAAATAGAGAATAAGAATAAGGAATTTTGTTTTTCTTGCAGGAAAAACAACCAAAAGAAAAGAATTCAAAAGAATAATGGTTGTAGTGATAATAAACTAGTGATCATTATATTGGCTATTAAATTGAAGAATTTTCTTTAGATAAATGAAATTGAAAGAATTGATCCAAAAAAAGAATGATGATAAATGAATGAATGAATGGATGTTTTCCATTCATTCATTGAAACATTGAAACATTAGATCATCATTTGATATCGTTTTTTTATATGTGATTTGATGTATGTTTTGTCATATCAATCTGTTTGTTTGTTTGTTTGTTTCTTTTGTTTTCAAATAGGAAAAAGCCATAGAAAAATAAAACAATATGATTATTGAATCTTTTGATCATATTTTCATTTTTTTTCTGTGAGCTGTTTTGCCATTGTTATATTGAATGTTTTCTCTTTCTCTTTTCATTCATAGTATTTTGACTATATTAATTTCATCAACATTAACAAAACATAATGAAAAACATAAATAGGAAATAGACAATGTATTATTTTTTTCTGTTTCAAATAGGAAATGATAATGGCGCCATTCAAAGAACAGAAAAAAATTTATCAAAAGCAAAAAAACAATGGACAAAAAAAGTGAATGAAAAGCATTTAACATTATTCTCTCTTTGTTTTTCTCTCTCTATATAATACAGAGTGAAAAAACAAAAGAAAGACAATGCGCGAAAAGAAAAGAAAAAAAGGATGGAACAAAATCTCTATACACACACACATCATATATATTGATGATGATGATGATTGAAAAATGTGGGCTTTTTTCGGTAATAGCTGCCCACATTTTTTTATAATAAAAACATTCGGAATGAATGAATGAAAGAACACATCTCTATTGTTTTTTCTTCTTTCAATTTAGTGTTTTATTGTTTTAACACTTTACAACAACGAAAAGAAGGGTTTTTCCCCTTTTTTCGTATATAGGAATCTTGAGAAAAAAAACCCAAATATTTCCGATTCATTTAGTGAAAATCATTTTGAAAATTTGAAAAAAACCTCGATTTCCTAACTGAATTTACCGAAAAAATAACCTGAATTTATGAGACCAACAACCACCCCCTACACACACACACACACACAGCCAATTTAATGGGAGAGAGAAATTTTCTTTGATCAAAAATTTACCTGTGGTGTTTCCACTTGCAGCAGAACAGCAACAATCAAAATCAAATGGAAATTTTCTTTTGACATTTTCATTCTTTTCAAAAAAAGAAAAAAGAAAAATTCAGGTGTTATTTTTCAATAAATATTTATTTCTCTATGTATGTGTGACAACTTTAACACTGACCTTACCTGGTTATTTAGATCTAAATCTCTCTATGTGTGTGTGTAACACGTGTGCAATTGATTTATCTATTTTATCATCGTAACTTTTCTTTTTTTTTGTTTGGTTTATTGTTCGGATAAAAAACAGTAAAGTAAAGTAAGTGAATGTGGTAACAAAAGAATCTTAACCTTTGAACAAAACAACAAAATGAAATGAAATGAAATGAGAAAATAGTCTTCACACACACAGCGAGCAAAAATATCCAAAGAACAATGGGAAAAATTGTCAAAAAAGAAAAGAAATAATAACAAGCCGACAACACCAAGAGCGAAAAAATATATTGAGTGAAAGAGAGTTTTTTTTAACGCGTTCGCTACCAGAGATTTCGAAAAACACATAGAACTACAGCAAATAAACGACGCATATATGCGTCGCTGGTAGCGAACGCGTTAACATGTAAATTGCAATTGGATGGAACCTATTGTGTTAATTTTTTTTTATTTTATTTCAAACATTAGGTCAATTTACCCAGGTAAAAAAATCAATACAACAACAAGAATTTTCTTTTCTTTCTTTCGTTTTTCCAAATGGGAACAAAACAAAACAAAACAAAACAAAAAATACAGGCAGCAATTGATTGAACTAAATAATTGAACGATGATAATGTTGTTGTTGTTGGTGGTGGTGGTGGTGGTCTCTTTTTTTTTCTTGAGTATTTGTGGGGCTAAAAAAATCAATTCAAAGTGTGTAAAATTTGGTGTTTTTTGGGACCCTATTAGGCCAACAAAAAAATACTACATACAAACAAACAAACAACCGAAATAAAATTGGCATAAATAAATGTAGTGTGACCAATTTTAGCCAATTCTTTTTTATTCACAAAATGGATCGATCGATCGATTTGAAAATCAATTGATTCGATGACAATGAGAACATAAAGAGAGAGAGAGAGAGAGAGAGAGAGAGAGAGAGAGAGAGAAAATCGATTTTTT